GTAAGTGGGTAAGTGGGTAGGTAGTTAGGTGGGTAGGTAGTCCAGTCAGTAGCTATAACCATATGATATCAAAAGGAGAGCTGCAGTATTCTCCAGGTGTAAACAATACTTTAAAGAGAGAGTGTATCAGCCATTCAATCTTAGGGAGAATTCAACATTAAGAAGGACTTGGTCCATTATATGTGACTAGACTTACCGCGCTGACAACAGGCGAGATGTACTYGAGTGAAATTCGAATAAACAGATATGGCTTTCTCCCTGTCATGATTTCCACGTCATTGCTGAACCTATCAATACCTGTGACAAAATAAAATATCAATGAACCTTACTTCGTCATTGAAGGTAAATAAATAACTTGGGCTACCTGCGGTGGAGTAGGAAGTATGGTCTTGGAGGTTCTTGTGGTGAAGTGAATGGTTTGGGCTTGCGCTTGGTAATAAACAATGAAAATGGCAGCGCGAGAAAGAGAAAGGAAAGCATTTTCTTCTGTTTCGCACTCATAACACAAGGTTTTTCATAAAGTTAAAATTTTGAAAATAAAAACGTATACTAACCGTAGATCCAGGCAATGAAGATGTTTTCTAACAACACACAAAACAGGAGGGATATGCCAGCAGCCTGGTAATCGAAGAGATTGAAAACATACATACCACCCTACAACAATGAAGGAACATACTGTAAAAAGTAGAAAATAAATGGGCAGGGCAGGGCAGGGCAGGGCAGGGCAGGGCAGGGCAGGGCAGGGCAGGGCAGGGTGGAGGCGAGAAGTGCAGGACAGGCCAGGAGTAGACAGGACAGGAAAGTCCAGGTAAATCAAGGGCAAGGCAGCGCAGTTGAGGATTGGGCAGGGCTAATCAGGTATGGCAAGATAGAAAAGGCAATAGAAAAATGTCAGCAAACGGTATACCTGAAGAACACAAGGAAGTCCAGCAATAAACATGGCGATACTTGTGATCAAAACGACGATCCATTTTCGTCTGCGAAGGTAACCTGGATTTTCATCGATTATTCCTGTGACAAAGGCTTCTATTGCACCAAACTAAAAGCAGCAGAAAAACTTTATCAAAATTTAGCTCAAGATTGAGTTTAAAGTAAAGAGTCTGTTATTGCTAATGACTACCGTAACCGGATACAGAAGTGGGGAAGAAGAGAGGGTTCAAAGTGAAAGCCGCAGAACGGCCTATTTGAGTTAAAATTATCTAGGATTGGTTCCGAAAAGGAAGAGGATTAACTGCATGAGCCAAATGCGACCTCCAGCAATCGATCTCAGTACCACAGAGGAGAGAGACCGGAGTTTCAGCACGGATACTGAGTAAGTAGCTTGTTGGTGTTCGGAAATAAAGAACCTGGGAAAAACAGTTGGCCCTTAAAAACAGCATCGTATTGTAACAAGTAACACTACTCGAGAAATTTCCCCTTGAAAATTATGCACTTTCCTTAAATGGTTTTGTTTAATTGTCCCATCAATGCCCATCAATCGACTTGGCTTACCATGGTGTCGATGCCCAAAGTGACAAGCATGAAGAAGAACAACAGAGCCCAGAACACAGACAATGGCAACTGGGAAATGGCTTCTGGATAAACGATGAAGACTAGACCAGGCCCTATAGGTACGGTCATTGCAATGGTGATCATATTCATAGGTGTTAGATATTCAATATATAATCTAAGGACTCTTGTTTTGTTTTATGATTTCCTTTTGATTGATTTTCTTTATTGTTAACTTTGTTTCTATGTTTTTTCAGCATTTCATTTTTCTTTCTTTCTTTCTTTCTTTCTTTCTTTCTTTCTTTCTTTCTTGTCTTTCTTTCTTTCTTCCCATGCTCCATTCACTTAGTAAATAATCTATTTTCTATCCATTTATAATTCAATCCTTCCATATTCACCTGATTCTACTACATTTCCTACAGTCGTATGCAGAACATGAGCCATGAAGCCAAGAATACCAAAAACAGCAAACCCGGCGAGAAAACTTGTTCCACTGTTTGACAAGGAAACGATCAAACTATCACTGAAAAAAGAATTACACAGTCATATTTTTTTTCRAGATCGCACAGTTCTACTTTCATAATGGAGCGTTTTCACTCACGTGAGAAGGCAGCAATAAACAATAGAAACTTTCTGCACAGTATTTGCATAAGGATAGAGTTCAATTCCCGGAGGATAGAAAATGTATTGTTTTGGTACGTACCCCATAATGGCCACTGTGACGTCACGTGAAAACGCTCTATAGACTAAATATAGTGCACATTCAATATTTTTCAAACGAAATCATTAACTATGATGACCTACCTGTGAACATTATTCCTAAACGTGTTAAAACTTCCGAAAGTAATGACTCCACCAAAACCAATCCCGAGAGACCAGAAAATTTGAGTTGATGCGTAAACCCAAACCTGAGTAGAAACAACAGGCGAAGACAGAGAATAAAATGCGATAATTTCCAAAAAACGCATCTCATATCACGAATTCATTACATCTCATATCTTGGGAACATAAACCTGTCCGCCATGTTGGTTAAATGTAACGTCTGTTTCTTTCTTTTTTCTTCTTGGTAGGAAGACGAGAAATGTGCACTGTATCATAAGCGCTGGCCCACTCCCGTGGTCGTGAATTCAATTCTCATGGCCGTTTAGAAGCTAACAATTGAATTATTTAACCCCGATCACTACCGACCAGCTGTGGTATAGCACCAAACTACTATGCAAAACTAAAATATCAGTTTCGTATGCAGCTACTTTTTACTCTTGTTCAAAATGGATTGATTGAATGTGTCGAGAACTATTAGTAACTGGTATCGTAATTCTAAACTGAAATGTTTTCTCAGAAACATTACCCTTATACGTGGCCTGGTGGAGTTATTTCTGATGGATTCTCATTTTACTGGACAGGATCCTACTCCTATCCCCACGCTGTCACACGAGAAGATACAACAATTTATGCTAAAGCTTATTCACCAAACTCTAATTAGTCATACCTGAGGATCAGCAAGTCGCCTGAAGTCAGGTTTCAGGTAAAACCTAAGACCATAACCAGCTCCATCAAGGGTTACACCTCGAATCACCATGACAACGATCATGATGAGAGGAAATGTAGCAGTAAAATAAACCACCTGTTGTGGAACGGATTGAAAAATCGATGATAACTGGTTAATGTTGTTATTAACTTTCCATAGAGAAGGCAGCAAGGCAGCAAGGCAGCAAGGCAGCAAGGCAGCAAGGCAGCAAGGCAGCAAGGCA